TTCTGCTTCAATGCTAAGAACACAGCCAGCACTTGAAAATAGTTACCTTCCTTGATTCTTTTTCTTCTTAGTTTTTGGGACGTTTTCGTCATTGTGTGGAACGTGTAATGAGAGAAAAAATGTTTAAACGAATGATATAAATGGTAGAATTTTTTACTCTTGAAGTGTAAAATTGTCGAAATGATTCTTTTATTAACTTCTCTGGGTCGTATTAAAAGAGAAATTAATACTACCGTTGATGATCTCATGGATAAACACTGAGATCGAAGATGAAGAGTTATTGGGCTCTCGATCATGGCTACAACAAGCTTGGGTACCATATTTAAGAACGGTAGGATATCAAATCAAAACGAAGCCCTTGTAATGAACTTAATATTGTACGAGCCAATTTGCTCGATTTGAATGATTAAAATGCCAATTTTTTTTACTAGTCATGTTGGATTAGAATTTGAGAGAGCAGTAAGAAAAATGTATTTGATTTTGATTTTTTTTTTTCAAAAGCTCTGAAAATTGTTTAAATAGTGTGCATCAAATGACATTAAATATAGTGCTTTCTAAATAAGAACAAAATAATCTTTAGAAAAATTACTAATTTAAAGTTAACTTTTTTTTTAGTGAAAAAAAAAAAAACTAAGATATTTGATATTGAATATAAATAAAAAGGTTGATTAGTTTAATGCGTTAGGTTTGAATTAAAATATATCTTTTTAGACCCATAAGAGTTTAAACTTTAGTTAATTTTGCAGTTATAATGGATCAAATCTTAGAAAAGAACCGGAAATGAAATTTTAAAAGAAAAAGGGAACGTATAACTTTATAGTAATAAGTAAAATGGGCTAAATAAATTTGAATTGGGTTGCGTATTTTACTTGATATGAATTAACTTAAACAAACTTTGACCATTTTGATTAAGAATAGAGTAAAAATCCATATGATAGAGAGTAGAAATAAATTGGGTAAGAAATTAAATAGAAATTTAAAAGAAAAAACTAAAAATGGAAAAATTCAATAAAAATTCAATGAATTGATGGATCAATGGATGAATTGAAAATAGAAGGGCTCGTCTTGTAAAGGTGGCTTTCCTGTTTAGGGCATGCAATTCTCAACTTCCCTCGACAAAGTGGGAAGTGGTGATTTGGAACTATCCTCCAAATCCACCTCTTCATACTCGTTGCAAGTCTTGACGAAGATTTAGGTTAGTGGAGAATATATATATATATCTACATACTCAGGGTGGAATCCAAGTTTTTATTTTAAGTTTTAAAATTTTAAAAACAAAAAATTAAACTATGTAGTTTTTACATAATATTTATTAGATTTTTAATGGTTTTATTTTCTATTTTAATGTTTTTATTTTCGTATATTTAAAATTTATATGTATATATTTATCTTAGTTTGGGTGTATCTAACCTAAAATTTCGGATTGGTTATGGATTTAGGCATACATATCGTCAATCTAGAACCTAATTCAATTGGGACTTTAAGGAGATTTTTTTTCAAACGACATTGTCTTGGTGTAACTTTGAGAGCAAATTAGAGCGTGCTTCATTCGACATTTTCTGGTCAGAAAAGGGAACATGGCTTTCTGATCGATGGGGTAATGAAAGATGCATATGGTTGGCTGATAGTAATGGCTTTTCATTGTTTAATAATCATCTAAACAAATTTGAGTTCTTGCACGCATTGGAAAATGGTCGTTCTCAACCTTATTAAATAATGATCTAAGTTAGTGGATGAAAATATCGAATCTTAATTGCTTTTGTGGAACAAACCTTTGTGAGAACAACCAAGAAAATAAAGTTGTTTTAGTTATTTACTATGTGAAAATTTGGTTAACTCAAACATGCATGCTTGCCACATAATCCCAAACATTTGAGTGAAATTTTAAGTGTCAAAATTTGTATAAACATGCAAACATGACTCTTTAAATAGAGTGATCATGGTACATGGAAGGTCTTCTTCTTGGTGAAAAACCTTGAGAAAAACCTCTCACAAACACTCTCTTCACATATACAAAATCCCTCCCAAGTTTAGTCACTTACCGAATTCCACAATCCCATTCTAAGGCCGGAGGATAGTGGAGAAGACACTAGTGGTGGTTCGAAACCGGTTCGTGAGAAAAAAGGAGTTTGAACTATAAAAGGTTAGTATTTAAACTCATTAAGTTTTAATACTTATGAACATGCTAGTTATTTACTATAATTGATGTTCTAAAAGTGCTGAAGATCCAAATTGCTTACACATGTTTTATATTAACACAACAATATCAAGACCGTTACAAGTTAGATTCAAATTCTAAATCTAGGTCAAATTCTTAGAGGCATTACACCCTTAAATGAAGCAATGACCAATTTCAAGCTCTCTCTCTAAAACAAATAATAACCATGGATATAACAATCTCAAAATGAATATTAATGTCTTATTAAACTTTCTTTTAATCCCACAAGTTTATGAAACATTTGTTGGGAAAATGTCTAAAATATATGTGAAAGGTATCTCAAATTAAGCAAGGAGGAATGACATATCATGGATCTAAATTAAATGAGTGAAGTATTTTTCTTCAATATGGCATGGACAATTAGATTCACGAGAATTTTCACAACTCGTCATGATTTTCCTTCCTTCCATGGGGACTTTTGGTTTTATTTTTAATTATTACATAAACCATTTGATACACCATAAAATATATCTAATTTATTATATCATTAAAGTTTATCAATTGATGTACTTAAAATGCATTTTAAATGAGTACGAAAATTAAAAAAATTTGGATTATATATCGAGTACAATCGATTACTTATTGTCTAACAAATCTAATTTTCCATTAAAAAATAAGACCCCTACGACATGCATGTCATGATTACCAAGTGCAGAAATCCTTTAAAATAATTTACTAAAACAAAGATTCATAAAAAACCATTTAAACCAACAAATATCGAAATCAAACTACAACCATTTAAAATAATGCAACACACTTATCAAATCTAAGGGCTCCTACATGCAAATGCAACTACCTTGACTTCACTTTCATGGTCGTCTCCACAGTGACAATGTCATTCATACATTGTAGGCTTACCTTTACCTAAAAAAGATGCAATCACATACAATCATGGTGAGATCTATCTTTTCTTAAGACATCATGACCTTATTCTCTACTTCAAGTTCGAGTAAGGTTTGATGTGTAGTACTTTTCTATACACGAAACACACATGCGCACATGGACCCATTACGTGAGCTCGTATACATATCTCATGGGTCTGATGGCAGGCTCGCAAACACTCACGTTGCCAGAAACCACAAAGGGGAAGGAGCATGCATAATATCATAGTGTACATAATAAGAAAGTGTACACATGTGTACTAATCATAACGAGAAATTCTCTCGAAGCATGTGACATGTGAAATGAATGAGGTCCTATAGTTTCGAATCATGATACATAGTTATGATGCAAATCATACATCCATTTTATTTTTTATGATATAGCATTCCTATGAGACATACACACGTATGTTGGATAAATCTTCTATGGTTAATATACATGGTTTATCAATGTCTCATAGGCACAACGTGAACATGTTAACATAATATGCATGGTGTAATATGTGAAGGTTCAAGCATTATATATCATTCATATCGCAAGGTAGATTCATAACATATATATCCTTCATATCATAACATAAAATGTAACACCCCTAATTTTTTTAAGCTAATTAGTGACGTCAACTCATGCCTGCACATAAATGCAGAAATTCATAATAGACATTTTTAAAATAAGGCCGTGGACTTACATAATTAATTCAAAATATGAAATTCCACCGTTTTAAGGGAAAATCAAGCTTCACACAAACACCTAACAAAATTGACTGAAATCCAATATGTCCTATCATGTACTAATTTAAAGTTCAAACATTCAAAACATTCAACTACCCTATTATTATCTATTCTGACTTCCATGGCCTGCCCACCGTTCACCTTCATCAGTTCATAGGATCTTTACTTTTACCGAAGAGATTAAGTTAGTACGTGGCTTGAGTATTTTATAAAATACTCAGTAAGTGATCCAAATGTTGGAGTTTGTTACGTAAACACATGCAATATATGAATGAGACCTATCTGTTATAAACATAACATAGCCTTGGGCTCTTATAGTTTCGGGAAGGATTGGATGCATGGTACTTCTTCATACACGGTCTACGTCCATGCACACGGGCCCACAAGGTGGGCTCGCATCGTACCCTTGGGCTTGACTTGGTCGGGCACAGCACATTATACGTCACCACACGCCACAGAAAAAAAATGGTAGCATGATATCACGATGAACATAAATATCAAACGTACACGCTCGTACTAACATAACATAATGAAAAAATATCTCAAAGCATATGATATACAAACATGCATAAGGTTCCGTAATTTACCTTCCATAACATAACATTTAATATCTTTCATTTCTTTTTCCTTTCATAACAGAGTTCATTTATGTAATATGTATGCATGACATCTCACAATCCATCACAAACTTTACATGTAAGATATACATTTCATTCATGACGTTTCAGTTAATTCATAAAAGTAGTGTAATGGGTTACATGCATATGTGACGTACGTCTCATATCAAAACAAAGATACATAAACATCTCATAACATAAACATAACACATATGTATGGTACATGTATAAGCCACATGACATGCACCATCATAGATCAAACAGTAGCCTAACTCAAACAATAAGGTCACTTACTTGGTTGGTCTTGGTCAAAGTCGTTAACAATTTGGTAGACACCTCGAAACAACAATCCAACATCTAACTCTTACCTATAGCAATTAATATAACATGCTTAGGACCTACTAATAACTTAACTTAACTAAACATTACGATCAATTCCAATATAACTGACGAGATGCATGTCCTTTAACTAATGAGANGGGCGCGTGAGGCACCGTTTTTCTTCCCGTTCGGTCTCTGTTTGCTTGTTTTCCGACCCGATTTGATGCTGACCCTATTATTATGTGAATTAGGACTTGTGAAGAAAATTCCAGAATTGTTGGAATCCATTCCGTCAAGAAAACTTGAACTCGGGAAGGCACGCGTCGACCATGTAAGTAGCCATTTGGACTTCCACAAGCAATACTTGTAGGAACCGCTAGGAACGAGCATGCATGCTACCACCTATGAAATTAGCTAGCCCGACTTAGCGTCCTATTATAGAAACTGCGAATATAAGATGATTATGGAAAGCTAGATTCAAAATGTGTATTAAATCTGTTTGATTGAGACTCTGATAATGTATGTATGCATGAGGGGGTTGGGAAACTTGTGAAATCTGCGCTCCGGGTAAAAGTCGGACGTTATCTTCCCGTTGAGCATGTTTGATAATTTTGCATGAACTGCTGCGTGTAAACTCTCTTGTATGATGATTGCTTGGCTTGTCTTTCTGGATGAATAGGAAGAAATTATGAGCTTGATTAGGATGCTTTTGGCTAAATAAGCTAGACGAGACCTTAGATTGGGGGACCCCTAGTACACCGTGCAATTAGACCCGCGAAATGATTACCGGCGGAACCAGAACCCAGAATTCCAAACCCGATAGGTTTGTGACACCAGGCACGAGAGTCCTAGAGAAATACGAATCTAAGTCTAAGGCACCAAGTTCCACCCTAGAAAGAATAATAGGTCACCACGGTAACTGTAGGTAGCCCGTTAGGGTTGAGCAGTGAAGATAGTGTCATCAGAACCTCCACTTCCCTCTCTCCTCCGATACCATACCGTCGAGACAGAGCTCCGGTACGGTGATCGTTGAGCTTTGCAGATCCGGATAGGGAAGCGTGACAGGTGCCCAGACCTAGTGGTGATAGCTAAGGGGTTTTCTGAACATGACTCCTGAGCCGTAGAAACTCGTCCCTGAGCGGGGGACGTGGAGCCACTTAGGGTAACTCAGTAGCTGACCGGCACATAGGGGGTCGCACCCCGCTTTGTGGATGTATGGTCCCGTGTGAGGGTCGTCAGTTAACCTCCACGGATGATGTTCAGAGAGAGAGTCACGTATTCGGATCCAGCCATACGATCCCCTCAGATTTGCTTATGAGGTCGCGCCTCACCTCAGGACGCTGATCATTTCACTGCATAAGATGGGCAAGCCTCTTATGATGCATAAAAGAGTTGTAGCTTAGATCACCCTGCATAGAAACCCGAGAAAGACCGTGGTTACCTACCAAGATAAGGATGCGAAAAGAGCCTACAAGTAGGCTACTTACTGAGTATTCTTTTATACTCATTCCTTTCTACTCTTTTTTTTTCAGGCGAGTGAGGCCAGGGATCGAGGCGGGAATGCATGCTGAATCTTAATGCCACAGAGGAGTGTCCCGGGGCGTCTAGGAGTCTGTGCATAATTTTGTTTAGATTTGTCATGCATTGTTTTGTAAACCGCTTACTTACTATTCATATTTGAACACCTTGTTTTGGATTTTAAACCTCCTTCATAATTGTTAAAGTTTCTTTTTGTGAAATCTCGTTTCTCTATTGGTTCTTACACGATTTCATTGCATAGTCTGTTGGTCCGGCTCTTAATTTCGAGATTCAAATTTTGGGCTGTGACAGTTTGGTATCAGAGCCTGGTTTTAAGGTCCTGTAGACATTAGGTTGTAGAGTCTTGTATCTCTGTGGCTTAAGTTTCGACACGCTCCGCCGCGACCTGGTAAGTTCTCTGATAACTGAGAAATAGGAAGACTTGAGTTATATGCTATTGGATCTAAGACGAGGATTTTAAAGTATTACCAGGCCTTGAGCAAATTGAAGAAATTCTTTTACAGAATAAGGGGGAGCAAACTGAAGAAATTCTTGTATAGAACACAGGGGAGCAAACTGAAGAAATTCTTCCACAAAAGATGAGGGAGAAAATTGTACACATTGTCTTAAGTGCTGATGTGCCTGAAGATTCAAGTGACACTAGTGTTGGTGAGTAAGAAGTGACTCAACCAGCGAGCCTAGTGAAAATGAAATGACACCTCAACAACTCAGACATTCAGAAATAATCCTAAAGGCAAATCCAGAGTGCGCCAACCCAATAGAAGATGAAGTTAATGAGCCGGAGACATGAAGAAGCATCACAACACTCAGCTTGGCAAAAAGCGATGGAGGAAGAAACTATAGCCTTGGAACAAAATCAGACTTGGGAATTAGTGCCAAGACCAAGAGATACAAAACTCATCTCTTGCAAGTGGGCTTACGAAATAATGTGTACCCCCAGATGGATCAATCGTGAGATACAAAGCTCAGACTATAGATTCAGTGTTCTCTCAAGAATATGGACTAAACTATGATGAAATGTTTAGTCCAGTGTCAAAGATCATTATCATACAAGTTCCTCCAGTACTTACGGTAAATAAAGATTGGAAATTATGGCAGATGGATATGAATAATGCTTTCTTGCAGGGAGAGTTCAACAGAGAGTTCTACATGGACCAACCGAAGAAATTCGAAAATGAAGTTGGAGTCATTGATCAATATATGCAAAATCTGAAGAAGCCTCATTTGGATGCGACTCGACAGACCTTGAGATATGTCAAAGGTACAATCAATTACAATCGTTTATACAAAAGAAGCGAAGACTGGAAGCTAGCTGGATATAGTGATGTCGACTATGCAGGAGACCACGATACCCGAAAATCAATCATTGGGTATGTGTTCAAGCTCGGTTCGAGAACAATTTTTTAGTGTAACAAAAGACAACCAACAATATCATTGTCAACTAAAGAAGCAGAGTACAGAGCAGTAGCTGGAGCAGCTCAGGAAAATACATGGTTAAAACTTTTGATGGAAGATTGGCACCAGAAAATTGAGTATCCAATACCACTTCATTGCAACAATCAATCTACGATTCGCCTAGCAGAAAATTTGGTGTTTTATGCTAGAACAAAGCATGTGGAGGTACACTACCATTTCATTAGAGAGAAAGTCTTGAAGGAAGAAATCGAGATGCAGCAGATCAAGACAGATGACCAAGTGGCAGATTTGTTCATAAAAGGGCTGAATACTTGCAAACATGAGAGTTTTCGCTGTCAGCTCAACATGGTGCAGCGAATGAGGACTAGTGTTGAGGGGGAGTGTTGAAATATCATTAGTAGCCCAATAGAGTCAAACCCAATAATTGTACGAGCCCATTGTATATTTATTTTAGTAGAGATTTTAGGAAAGATACCTATAGATTTTAAGAGAAAGAGATCTAGATAGTTTAGGAAAAAAATTCAGATTTGTTAGGTCTAAATTTAGATTTGTTACGTTTAGATTGCATAGGCTCTAGTATAAATACTCCTCCACCCTACCTAGGTTATTCATCCAAGAAATCGAACAACAATAAAAAAAAAAAAAAGCAGTAGTATTCTACAGAGTATCTTGTATTATCTTCTCGATTGGTCTTAATAAAGAGTACGAGTGTTTACCACAAAAAGTTGTGTTCAACATGTGTGACGGATTTCGACATCATATTAGGAATAGACTGGTTAGCCAAAACTATACCATTATAGATTACCACAAGAAGGAAGTGGTATTTTTGTCACCAACTAGACCCAACTTTATGTTTAAAGGAACTTGTACGGGAGTCACCCCAAAAATAGTGTCAATGATTAAATCTAAATGCCTAGGACAATAAGAAGGGTGAGCTCTAGCTTGAGCAGTAGACGTAAAATGAAAAGAAAAGACGATAGATACGGTACCAATAGTAAACGAGTTTCTAGATGTCTTTCTAGAGGATTTACTAGGAGTTCCTCCTTTATGAGCCGTAGACTTCGGGATTGAACTCGAACTAGGAACTTTTCCCATCTCTAAAACATCGTACCGCAAGGCCCAACAAAATTAAGGAACTTAAAGTACAACTATAAGATCTACTAGATATGGATTTCATCTGACCTAGCGTATCTCCTTGGGGTGCATTAGTGTTGTTTGTGAAAAAGAAATATGGCTCAATGCGCCTATGTATTGAAGTTAAACAAGAGAACAATAAAGAACAAGTACCCATAACCTCGTATCAAGGATTTATTTGACCAGCTCTGAGAGGCGACGGTATTTTCCAAGATAGACCTTCGATTAGGCTATCACTAGATTAAGATCAAGGAAGGGAATGTATTGAAGACAACCTTTCGAAAAAGATATAGCCACTACAAGTTCATAGAGATGTCATTTGGCCTCACCAACGGCCAAGCTGTGTTCATGGAGTTAATGAAGTGGGTATTCAATGAGTTTCTGGACACGTTTGTCATCATGTTTATAGATGACATCATGGTATACTCGAGGATAGATCAAGAACACCAGGAACACCAACAAAAACTCTCAACTATCTTGAGGGGAAACAAGTTGTATGCCAAGTTCTCCAAATGTGAATTTTTGCTACAACAAGTCTAATTCTAAGGACAGGTGGTGTCCAACGACGAGATTTTAGTGGACCCCACTAAGATAGAAAACATCATTAAATGGGAACATCTAAATACAATTATAGAGATATGATGTTTCCTAGGGCTAGCAGACTACTATTGAAGGTTTGTATAAGACTTTGCTAGAATAGCCTCACCTCTTACACAGTTGACGAGGAAGGGCGTACCTTTTGTATGGAATGACGCATGTGAGGCCAGCTTCCAAGACCTAAAACAAAAACTAGTGTCAGCTCTAATGCTCACAGTGCCGGGAAGCTCGTAGGGATATGTAATCTACAGCGATGTATCCAAGAAGGGATTAGGGTGCATATTGATGCAACGCAGCAAGGTTTTTGCCTATGTGTCAAGTCAAATTCAAAGAATATGAAAAAGAAACTATCCTACGCATGACCTAGAATTGAACGCAGTGGTGTTCGCTTTAAAGATTTGGCGACACGGCCATATGGAGAAAAAACTGAAATCTACACCAACCATAAAAGCCTAAAGTACTTATTCTCTCAAAAAAGTTTGAACATGAGGCCGTGAAGGTAGTTGAAATTAATGAAGAACTATGATATAGATTTTCGGTACGACCTGGATAAGAAAACGTGGTCGTAGATACCTTAAGTCGTAAAACCCACACTCGCGCGACCCTCTTCACTAGAGAGTCACGAGTACAAGCAGATTTCAAGCTAGCTGACATAGTTGGAGTAACTTAGGGAGTCATAGCACAGATGGCTCAACTCATAGTGCAGCCCACACTCAGAAAAAGGATTATTGAATCCGAATAAGAGGACCCCAATCTAAATAAGATACTGAGTCAGCTAACAATGAGACCAGTGGATAGCTTTTCCAAGTCATCAGATGGTGGGTTTCTAGGTGAAAGACGGCTATGTGTACCAGCTGTGGAAGAATTAAGAAATATTTAAAATATTGACTGAAGCAAACAACTCACCATTCTCTCTGCATCGAGGCGGTAACAAGATGTACGAAGACCTAAAACAGCACTTCGTGTAGCAGAGTATGAGTAAAAAGATATAGCAAAATTTGTGAGTAAATGCCTAGTGTGCCAACAAGTAAAAGCTCATAGTAAAAAAACGACAGGACTATTGTAACCTCTAAGTATACAAGAGTCGATGTGGAAAAATATCGCTATGGACTTCATAGTGGGCTTACTCAGGACACTAAAGGGCCTATACAGTAATTTGGGTAAGTGTCGATAGATTGACAAAGTCGACACTCTTCCTACCGAGCAAGGCGACATACACAGTAGAAAAATGGGCTCAACTATATGTGAAAGAAATCGTGAGGTGGTATGGAATTCCAGTATCGATAGAGTCGGATCGAGACCCCCGCTTTACATCGGCATTTTGACGTGGACACAAGAAAGTGTTGGGTACTCACATCGACTTCAACACTGCCTTTCACCCTCAAATAGATGGTCAAATGGAGCGGTTGAATCAAATGTTAGAAGATACGCTATGAGCATGTGTTATGGACTACCAAGCTGCATATGATGGAATTCTCATACAATTGTAGTTTTCAAGCAATTATCAGGATGACACCACTCGAAGCGTTATATGAAAAACAATGTAGATTTCCGCTGTACTAGAGTGAAGTAGGCGAACGGGCACTAGTGGAACCCGAGTTAGTTCGTATTACGAATGAGGCCCATTCAAAAAATTAGAACAAGGATCTGCACCATGCAAAGCAGACAAAAGAGCTATACATATGTAAGGCATAGGAACGTGTAGTATTTGAGGTAGGGTACATGGTATTCTTGAGAGTGGCTCCTATGAAACGTGTTCTAAGGTTTGGACGTAACGGTAAGCTAAGTCCTCGTTTTATCGAACCTTTCGAAATCCTAGAGCGAATAGGTATGGTAGCATATAAGTTGGTCTTACCACCCTCCCTCTCAAGCGTACACGATGTATTCCATGTATCCAAGCTAAGGAAATACATGACGAATCCTACGCACGTGATTGTCTATAAACCTCTTCGAATTGACGAAGACTAAAGTGATGAAAAAAAATCAATTAAAATCTAGCCACGAAGGGAAGGTCTTA